AGCTGTACATTCGCACCATCAGTGCACAGCACATTCTTCAACACTTGCTGTCTGTTGTCGTTTTGATAAAAATACACCCATCCTAGCAGGTGTGAGGTGATATCTCACTGTGGTTGTGACTTGTGTTTCCCTGATGGTTCGTGATGTTGAGCATCGTTTCATTTACCTGTTGGCTGTTTTTATTCTTTGGAAAAACTTCTGTTCCGATCCTTTCACCATTTCTTAATTGGCTTTTGGGTATTTTTAACCATTCAGTTGTATGAGTTCCTTATATACGTTGGATATTAACTCCCTGATGCATGGTTTGCAGATATTTTCTCCCATTCCATAGGTCACTTTTCATTTTGTTGTTTCCTTTGCTGTGCAGAAGCTTTTTAGTTTGTTTTTTTCTGTTTCTGTCAAAAATGCCAGTGGAATTTTGATAGGGATTCCATTGAGTCTGTAGCTCGCGTTGGGCGGTACGGACACTCTAACAGTATTAATTCTTCCAGTCCACGAACACAGAATGTCTTTCCATTTATTTATGTCATTTTCAATGTCTACCATCAACGTCTTTTGAGTATATGGATCTTTTACCTCCTTGGTTAAATTTATTCCGAAGTATTTTATCGTTCTTTGATGCTGCCGTAAATGGGACTGTTGAGTTTCTTTTTCAGATGGTTCATTATTAGCGTATAGAAGTGCAACTTATTTTTGTATGTTGATTTTACGTACTTGCTGCAACTTTACTGAACGTGTTCATTAATTCTGACAGGTTTCTTGTGGAGTTTTTAGGATTTTCTATAAGTAAGATCGTAACATCTGCAGAGCGACAATTTTGCTTTTTCCTTTCCTATTTGGATGCCGTCTGTTTCTTTTTCTTGTCTGATTGCTCTGGCTAGGACTTCCAGTACTGTGTTGAACGTGAGTGGTGAGAGTGGGCATCCTTGCCTTGTTCCTGATTTTAGAAGGAAAGCTTTCAGCTTCTCACTGTTGAATATGACGTTAGCTGTGGGCTTTGTTATGCTGAAGCACATTCCTTTGGTACCTAATTAATTTTTGTCATGAAAGGATATTAAGTTTTGTCAAATGCTTTTTCTGCATCTGTTGAGATAATCACGTTATCCTTCATTATGATAATGTGGTGTATCGCGTGCATTGATTTGTGGATGTTGAGCCATCCTTGCATTCCATGGATAAATCCCACTTGATCACGGTGTATGATCTTTTTAATGTGCGGTTGAATTCAGTTTGCTAGTATTTTGCTGAGGATTTTTGCGTCTGTGTTCATCAGGGATATTGGCCAGTGGGTTTTTTGGTTTTTGTCTTTTTTTTCTCTTGTAGCATCCTTGTCTGACTTTGGTATCAGGGTAATGCTAGGCTTGTAAAATGAGTTCGGAAGTGTTCCCTTCTCTTCGATTTTTCTTGGAAGAGTTTGAAAAGGATTGGTATTAATACTTTTTTAAATGTTTGGTAAGGTTCACCAGTGAAGCCATGTGGTCCTGGGCCTTTCTTTGTAGGGAGGTTTTTGGTTTTCTTTTTTAACTGATTAATTCTTCTTACTCTTTACTGGTCTGTCCATATTTTCTGTTTCTTTAATGATTCATTCTTGATTATTTGTATATTTCTAGGAGTTTATTTCTTTTAGGTTGTCCAGTTTCTTGGTGTATAGTGTTGGTCACAGTAGTTCTTGAGTCTTTGTGTTTTTATGGTATCCTTTGTGATGTTTTCTTTTTCATTTATGACTTTATTTATTTGAGCCTTATCTTTTTTCTTAATTAGTTTAGCTAAAGGTTTGTCAATTTTGCTTCTCTTTAAAAAAAAAAAAAAAAAAAACAGCTCCTAGTTTTGTTGATCTGATCTGTTCGGGTCCGTGGGTGGTTGTCTAAATCCACGTTCTGTGAGGGGATAACAGCTGGAAACCGCTCCTTCACCTTGAGACGCTCCCAGCCCAGACCTCTGTTCCAGGTCACACGGCTGGAATGCAGAGATGTTGGGATTCATCTCTGTTGTCTGGCTTCACCCCTGCAGTGATGCCTGGGTGGCCAGGAGGGCTTGTGAAGACAGGTCTGCTGGGTCCTCCCCATCTCTGGGGGCGTGGGGGGCTGAAACGTTGCACTTCCCCCAAGTTCCCAGGGGTGTTGCAGCTGTGGTCCTAGGCCCACCACCTGCAGGGTAACCACACTAGCTGTTAAAGCCAGGACGGGGTCCAGGTCCGCTGTGGCAGTGCCACCGTGGCCCTGTGAGCACCAGTGGGGCCTGGCGGGCTCCGGGTCTGGGAGAGGTATCGGCTGCTTCAGCTGCATAGGTGGGTTCTGAGGGGTGAAGGGCCTCCGTCCTGCGGGCTGCCCAGGAGCCAGGACCGCCCGGCAGAGCCACGGCTCCAGGCCGAGCCCGGCACGTGCTCTGCCTGCCTGCTTACGTGCCGACGTGCTCTGCGGCCACGGGAAGCGTGGCTCACTCCTGCCTTCAGGCTGACGTCCATGTGGGGAGGCGCCCTCCCTGCCCCTCAGGGCTGCTGCCAGGTGGAAGCGGTGTGTCTGTGGGCCGCTGCCTGGACGGGCCCCTGTCAACCGGCCGGCTTCCTCGCCTCTTTTATCTTTACACTTTGTCACAAGCCTGTGTGTGAAGTGGAGCCGAAAGGCAGGGGGCCTGAGACTCTGGTCTCGTTCTGTCCGTGAGACCTGCCGCCTTGGGCTTTGCGGCCTCCTGTCCTGCCTGCATCCGGCTGCAGGGACGGCTTCTCCCCTGCGCCTGGGCTCCTGCGCTCCTGCGCTGGCGGGTGCTGGCCAGCAGTTCTCACTCGGAGATAAAAGTGGCCACGTGAGGTCTCAGTGCCCGCTTTGCCGGTCACACGTGGTGCGTGGGCCGGGGGCTCACGCCTGGGGTCTGGCAGGAGTGCGATGCCCCCGGACGGCCTGACGCAGCCCTGCGGTCGCTGGTCCCCTTCCGCCTGCTCCGGGGTGTGCTGCCCCTGGGACGGCCGGTTCCCTTCCTCCTGTCCCCCCGCCCTGCCCCCGCCATGTGCCTGCCCTCCCAGCTCCACTGCACCCAGCCCGGCCAGGGCGGGACGTAACCGTGAGGGATCGTGCCTCCCCGAGGCTGTTCCAGGAGGCCGTCCCTTCAGGAAGCGCCCAGCCTCGGTCACGTGAGCAGCCGTGAGGAGCGGCGGATGGTCAGTCTCTGACGCGGCCCACGGCCCCACCAGCCCCCTGCTCCCTCGGGTCCTCGCTGCAGGCGGAGCCCCCCGTTGAAGGCTCGCCCCGCAGGGTCCCCGTCGTCACTGCTGCCTCAGGCACCTGAGTGCAGAGTGAGCACCAGGTGGGCGGCCGCCACGTCCTCGCTCTCCTTCCCAGGTGAGGCGACGCTGCAGGGCGGCGAGGGCTCAAGCAGGGTCCCCGGGGGTGCGTGACGCCCACACCCAGTGCCGGGCGTCCGAGGGGCGCGTGTGGGCCGCGGCTGCCCCGGTCCTCCAACACTGGGTGCTGTCGGCCTTTAATTTCCCGTGTGACTGAGCTGTGGAGCAGCTTCGCAGGCGCGTCTTCCCTGGCGAGGCCTCCGATCACACCGTCTCCCTCCTGTGCTCGGTCCTGTGCGCCCAGCCCGCCGGTTCCGCGCGCAGCCCGGGGTGGGGTGGGGGCTGGGGGCGGGGCTGTGAGCCGGCGCGGTGGGGGCCACGCCTCCCCTGTTTCCTTCCCTCAGATCCGAGCCCTGTGCTGCCTGCCTGTCGTGGAAGCCGGGAAACCACTGTTTCAGGGGTTTTGTCTGGTTTTCTGGTTGGTTCAGGAGGGAGGGTAAATCCAGCACCCGTTGCTTCATCTTGTCCCCGGAGAAGGCTTCCCGGAGCCCTGGGGGCTGCGGGGGGCCTGGGTCTGGTCTCTCCCGCACGGGGGCTGTGCTCTGTTCACGTCCCCTCTGAGCCTCTCTCCAGAGCTTTGTGTGAAGGACAGGAAGTCACGTTTCAGGGCGCCCACGCGGCAGGCTTGCGGCTCATGGGTGGGGCGGCCCACTCGGCAGGGCCCGTTCCCGCCGCCCCACCCTCATCTCCTGCTCCCGGAGACCCCCTGTATGGGCTCTTACGTGGGTCCTTCCCTGGCGCAGAGCCTCTCCTGGTTGCTGCCAGGTGCCCTGCACCCCTAGCCAGGGCGCTCCCACTTCCCGGAGGAGCCGAGGTGGCAGTGCTCCCCGCCGTGGCTTTGCCCTGAGGAACGTCTTGTCGCCTCCCCGTGCAGGGGCTCCTCCGCAGCCAGCTGCGCTTTCCCATCCAGCCTCTTAGTCGTGCCTCTGTCCTTCGGAGTCCTGCCCCTCTACCTGCTGGGCTTTGTCGTGGCTCTCCTCTGCCACCCCAGCCGAGGGCCCTCCTGCACTCTTAGGGTCTCGGCGTGGAGGCCATCGTGGGCGTTGCTGACAGCGCTGCTGTCTGACCGTCTGCTTCCTTTATGTAGCAGAGCCGCCCTCCCTTTGTCCCTAATTTGTCCTCCTGGGTGGTAGCACGGGTGTACTTTAAATGTCCTTTATCATTGAAGTATGACACACACACACACACACACACACACACAGATGGCACACGTCGGAAGTGTCAGCTTGATGAATCTCACGCGGATGGAGACGCGAACGTCACCAGCCCCCAGTGGTCCCCGTTACCTCATACTGTAGTCCTCTGGATAGAGGTGGCTTCTGCCAGCTCATTGCGGCTCGACGACTGTGTCCCACCCCCGCTGTCCTGGTCCCCTCTTGGGGAGTGCTGTAGTTGGCCAGTGCCTCCTGCCTCCTGGACTGTGGCCCGGTCCCCGGCCTCTTACCAGGGGCACTAAGACTCCAGCCCGAATCTCTCTCACCTTCAGCTGGCAGGCTTGGGGCGGACTTGGCGAGTTATCATGTTCCTGCTGCCCCTCTTTCCAAACAGTGGGAATTCGGGGTCTCCCCCGGCAGCAGTGGATGTGGCAGAGATGGGGGAGGTGTGGTCGCTTCGGCCCCAGGAGGAGAAAGCCCACTGACCCACTTTCTGTCTTGTCTTGAAGGCTCAGCTGTCACAGGCCCTGGAGGAGCTGGGAGGCCAGAAACAAAGAGCCGACATGGTGAGTCCCTGAGGCACACGCCTGGTTGGTGGCCCTTGTGGCCAAAGGGAAGCCCAGGGCCTGGGTACCTTAAAGCGTCGGGACCTGCCCTGCAGGCACAGGTGTGTGGCCCCCCCTGGCCGTGGCCCAGGCCACACACCCACCCCCTCCACCCCTGGCACAGACTGCGGGGCTCCCCCCAGCCGGCTCTAAGGTGGGGACGGCGGTGCATCTCCTGCTCAGGTCACAGCCACACGACACGCTGACCCCACTCTGACCCCACGGGCCCTGCAGCATGTGCACACTGAGCACAGGGCTCTTCAGCCTCGCGTGGCTACTTGGTAGCACATTTGTTTCTCTGCTGTCCCTGTGGGCTGACTTCTGATGTCAGATCACGTCCACCCCGCCCTCCGTGCAGCCGGGGGAGCCCTCACCTGGGCGCATGCAGACACGGCCCCGGAGCCTCGGCTGGCGCCCTAGTACTTGGAGGGTCGTTACCATGCACTGGGGGACAGAGAGGCACTCGGCTTTCCGGCATCCTCATCCTGTACAAACCGTGAGCCGCTCTGGCCCTGGTCTGGGCGCTGAGGGGATGAAGCCCCGGGCACAGGAGGGCCACAGGTGTGGGGAGGGTAGGGGCATCTGCACACATTATCGGGTTGCTCTGCCCGGGCCACACGCCAGCCGGGTTGGGGGCACCCGGGAAGCTGCCGTGGGCACTGGGACTGCGGCTGGAGTCAGGCTTCTGTCTCCGTGTCGGCGCCGCCCAGCCCCGCCTCTTGTGGGCATGCACAGTGGGGATGACCGCCAGGTGGGAGAGACGCATCCTTGAATTTGCTGTCCACCGCTGCTGCGACCCTCACTGTCGGGGGCTAGGTGAGGAGTCGGGGGTGGGGTGGGATGGGAGGATCGGGGAGTGCGGGTTTGGGGGAAGCGTGGGGGTCTGAGAGGCAGTTGTACATTGGGCTGTGGGGGCTTTTGGGTGTCCGGAGTCCCCGAGTCAAGGCCGGGAAGCACCTGGGTGTTCCCGGTGGGTAGGTACCCAGCGGGCCAAGCCCTGCCCGGCTGCTCCAGTCCCAGGCATCTGTCCTGGGGGGCAGTTCCACTCAGAGTCAGAGAAGGACATGTCCAGTGAGGGACCCTAGGTCCCGTGTGTAAGGGCAGCCGTGAGAGGAGCCCAGAGCCTTCCCGGTGATGGGATTTCATCAGTGAGCCTCCAGAGAGCTGTTTCCTGGGGCAGCAGGGGCATGTTTGGGCCTGCAGAAGTCCTAGAGGTGGGAAGGCAGCCTGACTGCGTGCTGGCTGAGGGAGGGGGCGCCTGGGGCCGCGAGCGCAGCTGCCTGGCCTCCAGACCCGGGGCGGGAGGGGGAGAGGGGGGTTGGGGGGAGGGTGCTTTCTTCTCATCCACCGACTTTGCCGCCCGGGGTGGGGTGGGGTGGGGTGGGGTGTCCTGTCCTGTCCTTGAAGCCTGATGCATCCTCTTGATGAGGTCCTGAGGACTCAGTGATCTGTGTCTCCTGCGTCGCCCCCTCGGTGCTGGCCTGAGTTGGCGTGTGCCCTCGGGCCGTGTTTCCGTGATGTGCACGAGGCAGGAAGAGGTGCGTGGGCATCTGATGCCCGAGGCCTCAAGGCTGAGAAGTGAGGATGCCTTGGAGCTGGTGCCTCGGCCCTTCCCCGGCCCTGGGGCTTGTGGATAGGAGCCGGTGCCTCCCGGGCAAGAGGGAGGACAGACCCTGCTGCACTTGGCCACTGGCTCCGGCCCTCAGGCCAGGGTGGGCACTGAGCCGGAGAGGCCGCTGCACCTTCTCACGGGGGCACCCGAGGGACACGGGGCCGCAGGGCTGTGTGCCTTCCAGCCTGTGCTTTTTTTTAGTTTCAACCCGTATAGTTTCCGTCCCTTGTGTGAAGCACCCAGGGGCTTTGAAATCCTGACGCCTGGTCCCTCCTCTAGACCGATTAAGTTAGAACTGGTTGTGGTGGGGGGGGGGGCCGGGCAGGGGTGTTATTTCATGTCTTCCTGGGCAAGTTTGATGTCAGCCAGGGTAGAGAGCCTCCGGTAGGCCTGGTGTCCCCAAACTCGGCGCAAGGCCCCTCCCCCAGGCCACTGGGGGACCTTGGGGACCGTGCTCCATGGGGAGCTTCGGATGAAATGTGCCTTATCCCAGTGGTACTGACCCTGCAGAGGCGGGCAGCAGTGCGGAGCCTGGCCTTGCCTGAGCTGACTCTCGGCCATGCCCGGAGATGAGGTGCTGGCGGCCTTCGTGTGCACAAGCCAGGCGCTGTGGGCCCGTTATACTGGTTCTTTCATGCTTGCTTTTGGATCTGGGCTGTAGCTGTCTCCTCAGACAGGGTTTTAATCTCCGTCTTTTTTTTTTTTTTTTAAACATCTTTATTGGAGTATAATTGCTTTACAATGGTGTGTTAGTTTCTGCTGTATAACAAAGTGAATCAGCCACACATATACCTATATCCCCATATCCCTTCTCTCTTGCGTCTCCCTCCCACCCTCCCTGTCCCACCCCTCCAGGGGGTCACAAAGCACCGAGCTGATCTCCCTGTGCCATGCGGCTGCTTCCCACTAGCTATCTGTTTTACATTTGGTAGCGTATGTATGTCCATGCCGCTCTCTCACTTCGTCCCAGCTTACCCCTCCCCCTCCCCGTGTCCTCAGGTTCATTCTCTACGTCTGATCTCTGCCTCTGATGGTCTAATCTTTAGCTTATTTCGCGTTGTTTCACTTCCCTCTTCTTCTGAGTTAAAGGGAAAATGAGAAATGGCGGTGCCCGGGGCCCAGGAGTGCAGGTGAGTCACACTCAGTCCAGGAGCTTGTGTGAGCCCCTGCTCTCCCTCCCGAACTGGTTCCAGGGGGGGGTCCTGCAGCCCCCGAGGAGATAAAGGCTAGGCAGGCTGGTGCAGGGGTTGGCAGCTGGGAGCCTGACAGGTCCGTAGTCAAGCCCTCAGGGAGTGAGATTACCCAGAAAATGCATGCATTTGGTTAGGGGGAGGTTTCTGCTCTCGTGTAAACCCCTGAGGGCATGGAGAAGTAAGAAATTGAAGAGGGGGACAGTGGCCCAGAGTGCACTGTGGGACCGGGGTTGGGGGGGCACAGTCACCCCTCCCACCCATTCCAGTGATAGCCTTGGTGCCACTGTGGGCGTCTCTGGTGCTAGGAGGGCGGGGCTTCTCTGGGTCTGGACGGTGAGAAGTCTGCATCCGGGGGCTGCTGACTGTAACTCCAGGCCCTCGGTCCAGGACAGCTGGGAATGGGGCCCCAGCTCCTGTAGCATCTCTCCCACCTGCAGCTGCTGACCTGCTGTTTGCTGGCCCAGAGTCAGTTCACTAGGTAGGAAAGGAGAGAGAAAAAAAGAAAAATTTAAGCATCTTTAGCTAATTGCAGATGACAAGACAAAGGCAGTCTGACTTTTTGTTGATAGTTAGCAAAAATAATTAGTAAGTGTGAGCACAATTCATGTTTTTTTCTTTAAATGCAATTGATATCACAAGGAAAGACATCCCTGGCTGTAGTTGTATCGTTGACACGCCTCCCTCACCCTAATTAGGTCAGGCCGGCCATGGCTGGAGAAAGGAGTTTTTGTTGTTGTTGTTGTTGTTTTGCGGTACGCGGGCCTCTCACTGTTGTGGCCTCTCCCGTTGCGGAGCACAGGCTCCGGACGCGCAGGCTCAGCGGCCATGGCTCACGGGCCCAGCCGCTCCGCGGCACGTGGGATCCTCCCGGACCGGGGCACGAACCCGCGTCCCCTGCATCGGCAGGCGGACTCTCAACCACTGCACCACCAGGGAAGCCCAAAAGGATTGTTTTGATTCTTTTTTTTTTCCTTAACTAAACATGCTCTTTTTTCTTTTCTTTTTTTAATTAATTAATTTATTCACGGCTGTGTTGGGTCTTCGTTGCTGCGCGCGGGCTTTCTCTAGCTGTGGTGAGCGGGGGCTACTCTTGGTTGGCATGCGCAGGCTTCTCATTGCAGTGGCTTCTCTTGTTGCAGAGCACGGGCTCTGGGTGCCCGGATTTCAGTAGTTGTGGCTCACGGGCTCAGTAGTCGTGGCTCACGGGCTCTAGGTGGAGGGGCTTCAGTAGTTGTGGCTCGCGGGCTCTAGAGCGCAGGCTCAGTAACTGTGGCTCACGGGCTCAGTAGTCATGACTCACGGGCTCTAGGCACATGGGCTTCAGTAGTTGTGGCTCGCAGGCTCTAGAACGCCGGCTCAGTAGTTGTGGCGCACGGGCTTAGTTGCTCTGTGGCATGTGGGATCTTCCCAGACCAGGGTTCAAACCCATTTCCCCTGCACCGGCAGGTGGACTCCTAACCACTGTGCCACCAGGGAATCCCTTGACCCTAACTCTAAAAAGTGCTGCAGTACTTTGTAACTTCAGGGAGCGAGCACTGGATGTTCGTCTTCTGACTCTGGGGACTTGCCCCTCACAGCCCCGCGCCGCTGTCCGCCTCCCAGGGCCCCTCCCGGAAACACTGCCCGGACAGGGAGCAGAGCACGCGCGGCCCGGCTGGCTGCCTCCCGCCCCCCACTGCTCTCCTGCTTCGCTGCAGCTCGAAGTGGGCAGTGCGGTCGTGGCTACGCATGTTCAGGCTGCTCCGGGCCTCCTGATGACAAGCGCTTTACAGCAAGGTTCTGCCCCCTGAGGAGAGCCCCGCAAGGCGGGTCCAGGAGCGCGCAGGCCTCCCGGGCTTTCCTTCCGCACAAGCACCAGCAGCGCTTGCTCTGGCTCCGCGGGGCTGGAGCGTGGATCGCAAGGGTGGTGGCGAGACCACCTGTGGCCCTGCCAGGGGCTGTGCTCACCGCAGTGGGCCTTGCTTACCCTGCAGCATCATCGGCGCCAGCGTCGAGGGCCGGTGAATCACCTCCATTGTTCAACGCTGGCAACCATCGCCCGTGTGCCCCACCCCCACCCCCCCGCTGGAGGACCCGGCCTTATCACAGTCTGCCAGCTGCTTCCCGTGAATTATTAAAAGCGCCTCTGTGCGTGGTGGTGACTCATTTCACGTTCT